GAATTGATCACCGAAAAGCAAATTCGCCCAAGGCGTACATTAAGATAATTACGGTACAATATTATTATGAAAATTACCTCAAAGGTACTTTAAATCAATATAGCAACTTTTTAAATAATGATGATCATAAAATGAAATGATAATACCAGAAAACATATAAATTTTACCAGACCGCTTAACTAGAGATGTTTTCGTTCTGAACGCTACACTAGTAAGAAGAAAGTAGCATCGTAATATTCTGCTACCTAAACTCGATTATAGTTTGGAAAGAGACAGACATTTGAGAGTAGAGCAATAAAGATAGATAGATATTTAGTGCAAAAATCTGCAAAACCAACTGTTCTAGTAGAAATCAGTGGCGCCATCTGGACTAGACTGGCTGAAACTTAATTCATCGTGGAACACAACAAACTGGAATGAAATGGTTTGCAATTTCGTTACAACTTAAAAATAGGAGATTGTCAAACTCCAAGTCTAGGTACTTTAAATTGCACTAACTCTAATAAATCACGATTGTCAACTTGTCCGTGAATAATTTTATATAAATATGTAATATTCAATACTTTATGACTCACGAACAGAGGTTCAATGTTGAATTCGTTTAAAAAGTCACTATAACTATGGTTCTGTTCAGGATATATTTTATGCTTGATAAAATATAAGTATATATAAAAATTTACGTTGTATACGCTCAAGCATTTTAATGCGGGCATTATGGTATGGACACCAAGCGGCACTGGCATACTCCAAGCAGCTTCTAACAAACAAAAAATATAATACCTTCAAACAGTCGATATTTGTAAACAGTTTTATGTTCCTGATTATGAAACCAAACATTTTTAGACAATGACTATTACTATGCTCATAATGTGGAACAAAAGTTAATTCAGGATCAAGTATGACACCAACGCCTTTTTCTAATTACAACGTTCCAATAAAGTCACCCATTTGATAACTGTACACAATCATGTTGATTTTTCTTGAAAATGACATTATTTCACATTTTTTTATATTTAAGCCTAATTTCTTTTGTATACACCACATATATAAGGAATCGATATCACTCAGGAATATATTACAATCATGTATATTATTTATAACTCGTACAATTTTCAAGTCATTGGCATAGAGAGAAACTTGGGATCTTAGATGTGTGTTATGCCGTTAACAAATATTAAGAACGTTAATGGGCCCAAATTAGATCCCTGGGTAACCCCACTTGTCGCGCAATACATATCTGATTTGAAACCCTTATATTCAATATAATTTTTCCTATCTGTTAATAACGAATGAAAGAGTATAACAATTTATCACATATTCCAAATTGCCCAAGTTTATAATAATAGTGCCGTGATGTACCTGATCGAAGGCCTTAGTAAAATCTGTAAAAATTACATCAACTTGCAACTTATCATCAAGGGCTTTCGACACAGATTGAACAGAGTTGGTTATATTCGTCAATGTAGACCTACCTCTGAAAAACCCATGTTGCTTAGAACATATTTGTCGGTATACATGATTATACACAAAATATGATAAAATGCTTTCAAAAAGTTTTGTTATATTTGGAATCAGTCCAACAGGCTTGCCATTCGTAATGAGAGATTTGACACCTGACTTGAATAATGGACAAATTTTTGACAGATTCCAGCAGTTCGGGAATATACCTTTATCTAGTATTAAATTAAATATCTTACACAGTGGTGCCTCAAAATAGCTGATACAGCCTTTAATCAAGAATGTTGGGATATAGTCCGGTCCCATTGTAAAATTGGGTTTCAGTGTCCTAGCTGCTCTTCTAATATTGCAGTTATCAATGGTGAAACATGTAGAATATTATAATAGGTAGACACACTAACATTCGAGACGTCACCAAACACGGTATTATTGTCATTTAAAAATACACTGCTGAGGTGCGTTCCGAAACTTTGCACCACATCTTGGGGAGATGTGAGGGGATGGTCAACATATACCATCGTTCCTGGTATCTTAGATGAGTTCTTCTTGGCATGTACAAAGTTCCACATCTGGTTAGGATTATCTTTAATGTTATAACAATTAAAGGGAGTAGACGCCAAAACAAATGCTAGCTTACACGTCTGCTACTTTCCTAAAACACGTGTGTGTTAACAAAATAACAGAGCATAGTAGAAGATCGCAAACTTAATCCCTTTTTTTAAAAATAACCGTTTAAATAGCTTATTACGCTACATTGTAACAAAAAAACATTATTTGCATTAATACTCTGAAGAATAATAATACTGTTACCATAAATAATTAAGACATTATTAGTAATTGTAGCAAATATTAGTAACAGTAAAATTCTTGCAGAAACGGCCACAGCGTGTCGACGACGAGCGTAATATAATATGGCGAAGTAGGCTGTACAAACAAAACGTAGAGGCATCTGGAAAATTTCGCTTGATTGGCTGCCGCGTTATTTTGCTTTAAATATGTCTGTCCCCCGTCAAATACCTAATTGTTATTTGATTATAGATTTGAGGTCTATAAAAGTGTAAAAAAAGAGAATATAAAAAATGGATATAATTCTGGTAGTAGTGAGGATTCCATAAATGGTACTCCACCAACAGTAGCTCAAGCAGCTAAAAATTCTTCCTTAGAATTACTACTCGAAAAATCTTGAACAAGTACCACATATGCTAGAAAAATTTCATGAAATTGAGAAAAAAGAAGAGGATATGTTCTTCATTTTCAGAAAACGTATTAATGGCATATATAGGCGAATTGTCTGAGAAAATCAAATCAAATAGCTTATGGACCTACTATTCTATGCCGCGAAGTACTATTAGTATTTAGCATAATGTAGATATCAAGAAATATTTTAAATTGAAGTCAATACTAAAACGTATGTCTGATGGCTGTATACCAAAATAGTCAAATACTTTGACAACTGAACAAATTAATAAATTTCTTCGTGAAGCTCCTGACGATTAATATTTACTTAACAAAGTGGCTTTAATTTTGGGTATTTTGGGAGCCTGTCAAAAAGCAGGAGGTTTCTCAACTTAAAATAGAAAACATAGAAAATCTAGGATTTGCAATTTTTATTAAAATACCCGATACCAAATCAAAACAACCAGGAGCATTTAAGTTAACTGGGAATTTCCATGAAATGTTTAAAAAAATACTCTAATCTTAGACCAACTGATATAAAACAATCCCTATCAACAAGGAAAGTGTACGAAGCAAGCGGTAGGCGTCAACAAGTTTGTAAATGTACAAAAAATAATAGCCAACTACATATATACACCTAAAAGATCCTGAACTATACACGGGTCATTACTTTCAAAGATCATTAGCTACAATTCTTGTGGATGCAGGTGATGGTGATATCACAACTCTTAAACAACATGGAGGGTGGAAATCAACCACTGTGGCTGAGACATACATAGATGAATCTATGATGAATAAAATGGAAATATCAAACAAAATTTTGGAGGCAATAAATATATCATCACCTTCCAACACTCCATCAACAAAACCGTGTATTCCAAATGAAGCAGAGACTGCACAATTGATTTAAGACCATTCATTATCCCACACTGTAAACATACATGAATTGTCCCACCGTATACACTTTTCTAATTGTAACTATAATACAATAACTGTTATTAAATATGATTTGAACGAAATAACTACTCAGCGGGCAAATACCCCGACCTGCATTGGATTATACCTTCAAATCATGATAGATCGGTAGCTAACATCATTGTCAATTACTAACCAGACATAGACCGGTTTCGAACTTATTAGTTCTCCTCAGTATGCCATAGATTATGGAACAGACAAATTATAGTGGCCAACCTGCTAGTCATATACTGACTAAGGTAAATTGAGTAGTGGTGAGAGGTATGTAAAACTTCTCATATGGTCCAAATGCTACTATCCGACCGACATCATAGATGTCTCTGTGGCGGATAGCGACTTGCGAAGCAAGTACCGAGAGCGGCGACCTCTAGCCCAACTACTGTTATTAAATATGATTTGGATTTGGACCATATGAGAAGTTTCACATACCTCTCACCACTACTCAATACAATAACTGTAAATGTTTTCACTGGAGAAAAATCGAAATAAACCGTTAGTGAGTACAGTGAGTATTATAATAATAATTTTCCAGTTTCCTTTTCAGAATCGTTATTACTTTACATTTTTTTGAAAAGTTTAATAAATTAGCCGGTGAACCGCCGTTATCAGTTCATATTTAGGTTTTTATTCACGTGAACTTTTTTAACAAAAAAATCAGCTTGTGGTGTTTTGTGCATTATTTGTATTTAAATATTAATTGAAATCAACCGAGATTTTATTTAATATAAATGCAGAGAATGCAATTTAACATTTGGTTTGGAAAAAATAGTCTGTCAACGTTCTAGAAAACTTTTTTAAAAATAGTGTATGGCGACCAGAGTTAAACTCGAGATCCCTGATTAGATTTGACTTCCAGTTGTTTTCTTCGAGAACTGCTCAGGTGGGAAAAGGCTTTTACATTTCCCTATAGGAGTGGCCGGGGAAAGCGACGAGAACCCCTTATATCGGGACTGTCTAATTTACTGAGAGAACGAAGACTGTGATTTTTTCTGAGAACTGCTCAGGCGGGACACGTGTTTACATTTTTCCACAGGAGTGTTCCTAGGAAAGTAGCAAGTTTCGTGTAGACCAGACACCGCCGCATACAGGGTTATATAATATTACACGCCGCTTAAGCTCTTTCAGTTAATCAACATACATAATTTTTATAAAAATTACACGCCGTTTAAACTTTGCAGTTAATCATAATATTTCATACGTCACAAATTTTCGCTGTCACATAACCGCTGGACGTTCCTTTAAGAATTAAACACCACAGGTAATACAACCTTCAGTAGCCCTGAATGTACCTCAAAGTACCTTGTGTGGGAGAGGGGTACATATTTAGAATCAATGGACACACACTTATTGTCCGAGTATGCTAGGATTATTTTCTGGTTTAGAAAAAATTCTGGCGTCACATCTGGGAATCGAACCCGGGGCTCCAAGGGTGAGAAGCAAGTGTCCTTACCGCTCGACCACGAAGCCACAAATATAGATATACATTTTTTTTGTCACATATATGAACAATTTGACTTGCTAAGTTGATTTGGTTGACTTATTTGTTTAAATTCTGGTTTTATTTACAAGTCAAATATAAGGTGCATTTTAAAAATGCACACTCTGGCACACTGTCTTCACTGTTAGATACCTGGTGCCCTTACTAAAAGTAGTTAGTAAGGAAAACGTTTTTCTTTCTCGCGGAAAATAAGAAACTGGCGCTGGAGACCTGCCGAACTCTAAAAATGATCCACTCTTTTAAACCAGCAAAATAAGGCATCACAGTGATCTAACAATGAAAAAAATAAGTAGGCATTTTCATAGTGAGTTTGGCTCTTTTTTTGGTCATTATATAAACCAGCAATATGTTAAAAAAATATCTCTGATTAGTAGACTACATGTTTAGATGACAAAGATTTCTAGCATTTGTATTGCAAAGCCCCCCCCCCCCCCCCCCCCCCCCCCCCCGGGCCCCCCCGCGGGGTTTTTTATGCCTCAAACCTACCAATAAGGAAAAAAATACATTTGCCTCCTAACGCCCCAGATATATTACGTATGTTCTAGTATATCAGTTATGTATATGACATATATAAGCTTACATAGAAATATATGCTCAGTTAATTTTTTATTTTATAAGAGGTCAAACCGTTTCGCTTTAGGAACCAACTGTAATCACTAATCACCTATCATGGCGGGATACCATCGTCCTTCATAATGAATTTCCACTATTCTGATATCTTGTAACCTTTCTCCTTGCTCGTCGCTTACCGCACCAAAATTTTCAAGAAAGAATTTAAATGAAAATGCAGAAAGTGAATTTTTAAAGACATACTTTACAACTACCTGCATAAGAAGAGAAAAAAATGTTTTCTTACGATTTTCAGAAAATGATATGAATGCCACTTGGAGAAAATTAAAACAACTTAATATTTACAATACAAAAACAAATTACAAATCTTCCCTCTGATGTCGCACATGTGGACTTAATAAACAATCATTTTATAAACTCCATACCAAAAAATAATATATCTGATAATCTTAATTATTATAATAATATGAAAGAAAATATAACTTCTGTTCTTACATTTAAAACTGTCACTGAAATGGACATGTAAATACTTATTCAATATAAAATCTAAAGCTGTTGGGTCAGATGGTATGCACATTGATTTTATCTTATGTTATTTTATTTTAAAATATATTTGCCATATTGTAAATTTTTGTTTAAAAATTCGGTTTATCCCATGGCATGGAAAATGGCATGTATTATTCTTCTCCCTAAAACCAACAATCTCAAAGATTTCCATGATTTACGATCGATAAGCATTTTGCCTGTCATCTAAAATTACACAGCCACACAATTTTTTTTTCTGATCTGGGGGTCTGACCATGTTTACTATATATTTTTGTGGTCACTGAATCCGAACCCCATCACATCAGGATTTAGCCATAACCTCAAAAAAACCCAAGCTCTTAAACCCCATAACCCACTTAACCAAAAATCTATCAACTCCAATAACCACGTATGTTAGTTATTTAACTTGATATGTACATTATATGTATATTATTTTAATAACCGCATAACTCTGGTCATTGCACCTTTTCTTGCACAATTTTTGTTTTGTCTCAAGCACCCGAAACATACTGTTTTGTCCTAAAAACACCTTGAACCTATAAAAGTCCATATTTTTACGTTTATTCAACTAATGTTAGTTTTTCAAATCATTGTACCGTCGGCATTGGTGTTACGCGATATATACCGCGGGTAGGTTGCCCACTGTCACCACGTGGAGGTGCAATGGATGCAGACGCACGCAAGATATAATCGCTCTGAACAGAACCTAAGCATTGAATTCGTTGAAGGAAAATATTTTCTAGAACCACGTACCAAAATACGTAGATTTATCACTAATATTTTTCATTGATATACAAAGACCCATGAATAATTGTACATAGAATTAGAGCATTTTTGGAGTCCTGATAGATACGCGTACATATCCATTAAATGTCTGACATACGTGGTTATTGGAGTTGATAGATTTTTGGTTAAGTGAGTTACGGGGTTATGGGGTTTAAGAGTTTGGGTTTTCAGATTACAACTTCATTGTTAGGGTTATATGCGTTTAATAGCTGAAATTATGGGTTTCTTGAGGTTATAGCAAAATCCTGATGCGATGGGGTTAAAGAGATCTCGGATTCGGATTCAGTGATCCCAAAAACATATAGTAAACATGGTCAGACCTCCAGATTAGAATTTTTTTTTGTGTGGCTGTGTTATTGAATATAAAGTTAAAGCTCAAATTACTGACCATTTAAGTACTAATAAATTACTCTCAGATGAGTAGTCTGGATTTAGGGAGGGGCATAGCTGCATTACTAAATATTACAGGTCATCATGTTATATGGCTCCGTGGTCTAGAGGTAACGTACTTACCTCGAAACCCCCTGGTCCCGGGTTCGATTCCCGGTCGAGGAACTGGGATTTTTTCGGAAAGAGAAATTAATCCCAGTATACTCGGATATTGGATGTGTGTCTGTTGTCTCTTAATGTGTAACCCTCTCCCGTACAAAGTAATTCTAGACCTTCAGGGATAAAGGGGGTTGTAATTACATGTGGTGTTGTTATTATTATTATTATTATCTGCTTAGTTCAATTTACTTTAATTTATGTTCTATTTTGGTGTTGCTCGGCTACTCAAAGACCTTCGATACTGTACAACATAATATCTTATTACAAATTTTAAAATTCATTGGATTTGATATGAATGCTGTCAATTTTATTAATAATTATTTAATTGGGCAACAAAAGGTCGTGCTTAAATACAAATATTCCAATCCTATAGACATCTCATGTGGAATGCTCCAAGGTTCTATATTAGGACCTGTTCTTTTTTACAATTTACACATATTTTGTTCCAACATTTTTAAACTATTGAATGATACAAATGTATGTAGGCGACACGCAATTGTTTTATAGTTTTGACGCAAATGATCTCCAAAATGTATTATTAACAATGATTTAGAAATGCTTTATAAAATATCTCTAGAACATTCTCTCCGTTTAAACCCCATGAAATGTGCAGCAATGTTTTTTGGCAGACATAATGACAGATCGCGTCTCCTACGAGATGTAAAAATTAATATCAATAATATCGATATATCAGTAAAAGATGAGGTAAAAGTTTTAGGTTTGGCTGTAGATTCAGACCTTAGATTTAATAAGCATATTTCAAACTGCATAAAAAAAAGCTATATCTAGGTCAAAAATTTTAGATAATTCTTGACATCTTCTAAACATTAAGCTGAAAACAGTATTATGCCAAACTTTAGTTTTATCTATTTTTAACTATGGTGACACAGTTTACGGTCTATGTTAAAGAGCTGCCACAGCTCAAGGCATTCAAAAAATCCAGAATTACTGCCTTAGATTCATCTATGGTATCAGGAGACAAAATCCTATTAGTCACAAACTGAATGAAACGCTTTGGTTAAATATGAAAAATTCACGCCTTCTGCATCGCGGTACCCTTTATATGAAAACCGGAAAATTAGATTTCGAACTGATGTTTATAATTTAAATATTAGGTTTAAAGGTAATATGACAAATCTGCTTTGTTTGAAAGATGTTACAGTTATAATATTGCAAAGTTCTATAACTGTCTTACGGCACGCCTCAAATCTCTATCTCTTAATAGTTTTAAAAAGACATTCAAACAAGAACTCTTAGTTTCTCAATAAAACTGGAACGATACAGTGACATAACGATTTTTAAGTATATGCTTTGTTAAAGACAACTTGAATACTAAAACCCTAGAATGATAAAATTAGTTTATATTTTGGATAATTATTAAATTTCATATTGTTACTATAATATAACATCTACTATTATTTTTTCAAGTTAAGTGGAAGAACAGATGTGCAGCATGTGCTCACAGCTGAACTTTGCCTTATATTTTTTTTATGTTATGTGCAATTTCATAATTTCTGAATAAAGTGTATTATTATTATTACCACTACGCTTACAAATGAGCTCCAAGCTCTGAGTTCCTGTCTGTTGAGTGTTCTTTTAAAATTTCCATCGTCAAGCAATTTTCTAATTTGAGGACCAATAAAAATGCATTCTTTAAGTTAGCGTCACTTAATTGGGGAAAAAGTTCTTTTAAGTATTTAAATCCTTCACCTTCTTTATTCATAGCCTTCACACATAGCCCAAGGTTAATATGAAGAGATGTCAATTTCTTTCCTTTCCGGCCAAATTCCTTTCAAATAATGTTCTCGGACTGCACGACTGTCCCACAAACAAAGATATAGCAATATTTTGTAAAGCCTCCTTCTAGCTCTATTTGTCATTTGTATTTGTTGCAATTAATTTTATTTAAAATTATGCTCATACTATCATAATCCCCTTTCGTTATTATTGAATGAGCAATTGATATAGATGGTTTTAAATTTCCATTATGTAATAATACAGCTTTTAAACTGTATTTGGAGGAATCTATGAATATGCGCCACTCAGAATGGGAATGCTCGATACTAAGTTCCTGGTTCCTGCATTAAACCATCAATATCAATACACGCGCATAGTGAATTTTCCATATTATAAAATGCGGAAAATGTTGCATTTCGACCCATCATAAAATTTATTACTTAACGGTATAATATATTCTATTGCGTTCACACAGAAATGGTACGTATTAGGACTTGTTAGATTTTTTTTCAGTTAATAGGGAGGTATTAACGATATAAAAATAGTTAAAAAATTCTGACATTTTATTGCTTCGTATTTATGCATTTCTAGGAAAAAAATAATTATTGAGTATTACAAAAGCATTCTTTCAAACTTAACATGATAGTAATAATAAATATCTATAGATTTTTAAATTGTATACTGACATTCCTATCTGAATGTGCTAGTATAAAAATTTTAGGCATATGATAAATCAAAAACAACACTTCTAATACCGTAGAGCGGGGCTATTTGCAACACA